CTTGGGTGGAGGAAGAGAAGGAGTGAAGTTCTTCTAAGCTGTGTTTTTCAGCTATGAATGGGCATGATCAATTCAACCAATGCTTACAGAGAACTTCTCATGTCCCCCAAACTGTGTTAGGATCTGTGGCCCACATATAAATAAGATACGTTTCCTGTCTGCGAGGAACCACAGACAAACATAAGACAGACATGCTTGATAGGATGTGGTCAGTGATAAGCCTAGGATGTAACAGAAGCACAAAAGAAGTTATGCACCCACCTGGGATTCAGGGAATGTTTCCTAGAGGAGAGAACACCAAAGCAAAGGAGTTAGCCAGGAAAGAAAGGGATCACCCTCACAGGCAAGAGAACCACATGAACAAAGTGTGGAAGCTGGATGTGGGGGAAAAGGGCAAGCAGTTGACAGTGTTACTAGAGCATAAAGAGCAAGATGGGAAGTGTGAGTGGGGAGATGAGGCAGAGAGGCAGGTGTGTATGGGGGAAGGGTAAATGATGTTAAGAGCATGGTCTTTATTCTGAAGCAGGGAAGAGGGAAGTGCCTGGGGAGATCTGCACGTTAGGTAGATCTCTGCCGTGTGCATTTGGAGGGGCGGAGCCAAGATTGGAAGCAGGGAACCAAATGGAAGAGATGATGAGTGCCTGACGCAAGGTATCCATAAGGAGAATGGAGGGCATGGGCTGGAGAAATAGCCAGGAGGTGGGCAATAGAGACAGAAGAGAGAGGCACACATCCAAGGGGCTCCTGTGTTTCTGGCTTGGTGCCTGGGTGGATAATGGTGCCATGAACTGAGATAAGAAATACAGAGAAAGGAAACAAGTCTGGGAGGGAGATGCTGATGATGGCCAACACTAACGAATTACTTACATGAACCAGGCACTGTTGCAAGAGTTTTTCATGCATTTTCTCAGGACTTTATGAAGTAGGTATTATTATTATGCCCAACTTATAGATAAGGAAGATGAAACTTTACAATGTTGAATAGCTTGGCCAGACCTACACAGCTGGTAGAGTGGTAGAGAGGGGTTAGAAACCAGGCATCCTGACTCCAGGGCCAGTGCTCTTAACCACCAGGCTTTATATGTGTTTGTGTGTGATGAGGCTAAAGAGACCTCCCAAAATTGGGAGGTCTGGGCCAGAAATATAATTAGAGGATCATCAGGGCCCAAGTCATGGTGAAACCATGACCAACCAGTGACGGAAGCACAGTGCCCTGTTAAAGAAGTAGCCAGAGGGTAAAAGGTCCACAAAAGAGACAAAACCCAGAAACAGTCCCTGTGATTTTTAAACCAGAAGACATCCTCTGCTACCTGGGCAACAGAAAACTAGGCAATCACGAACAGTGTAGCAGTATCAAATACAAATGTCCACCAAGTTATGCTGACATATTAATTATAAGTTACTATGTTGCATAGTAATTAACCTAAACAGTAAGCATTTTACGTAAATAGTAGTAATTCGTATAGCACAAGTTTTCCGAACTATGTCCTGTGAAATAGTTCCTGAAGATGTTAATAAATGTTTGAATAAAAAAGGGACTTGGAGTCAGACAAGTTTAGGAAATGCTGGTATAACTTCGAGAGAGAGCTAAAAGCCTGGTTTATACTTTTTTTTTCTCTTGTCTCTGTTAGGAGGCAGTGTAGTGTAATGGCTAAGAGGGGAGGCACTGGAAACAGTCTGGGGTTGAGTCCTACCACCAACAAGTGGGGTAATTTGGGGCAAGTTACTGAACTTCTCTAAACCTTAGTTTCCTCATCTGTGTAAAAAACCAAACCTGTTGCCGTGGAGTCGACTCCAACTCATAGTGACCCTATAGCACAGAGTAGAACTGCCCCATAGGGTTTCCAAGGAGTGGCTGGTGGACTTGAACCTTCGACCTTTTGGTTAGCAGCCTGAACTCTTAACCATTGTGCCACCAGCGCTCATAACTGTATAAACCAAACCAAACCCGTTGCCGTCGAGCTGTTTCCAACTCTTAGCGACCCTATAGGACAGGGTTGAACTGCCCCACAGGGCTTCCAGGAAGCAGCTGGTGGATTCAAATTGCCAGCTTTTGGTTAGCAGCCAAACTCTTAACCACTGCACCACCAGGGCTCCTATATCTGTATAATGGGACAGTAATAGACTCACTTCATAAGATTGTTCCTGGGATTGAATATAATAATGGATTTAAAACACTTAGACTAGAGGCTGGCACAGAGAGAGGGCAACATAAACGTTATTATCTATAAACCATTCTATTGTTAACAAGTTCCTGCCACACACACACATCTGCACACACACACACACACACACACACACACGTCACACACAGTGTTACCCACATTTCTTAAAAGTCTTGGCTCTGACTCCGTTAGTTGAAGTTTTCTGTGCCCCCACCCCCATCTCACTACAGCCTAGGACTGGAAATCACAGGGCTTTCGCCCTACTACACTCCAGGGAAAGAGACCAGGCAAAGGGAGGATTAATGCCCTGGCAACACGGCCTTTGAAAAGCCATCTCTAGCTCATAGTCACCTTTGCGAACATTCATAAAGGGCACATATCCTCTGGGTGGACACTGCCTGGACCAGGGCACACAGCTTGGCAAGCAGAGTGCAGGCTATGTTTTAGCCCCAACTTGCCTCGTTTGGATGGTCTTGTGCAGTGAACAACCTGTACAAGCATACATGGCAGTTCTGACCTTCAGGTCCTGAGGAAGGGGCTGGAAGCTGATGATCATTGGAGAAACAGGGTATTGGCCTCCCCTTTCCCAGAAGTTCAGAAGACTAGGTCTCCACAAACACTAGGTGGGTAAACCATCCTTCCTCTTCTCTCCCCTTCCCTCCCCCCGTGTACTGCACCCCCTATTCATTCACAGAGGCTGACTTCAGAATACCTTTTGGTGTGAGCAGATACCCCAGGCCTTCCCTGTTTCTCTGAAATCCTCCGGATTGTAGTTGGGAGATGACCGAGTTTTGGAAAGTAGGATCAGGGAGGGGATGACTTTCCAGGGTTCCCCGACACATAATGAGCACTAGCTTATGACGCCCCTAATCAGAGCATGCCAGGGCCAGAGTAAGTCTGACCACGGCTTGGGCGATAGAAGAAGAAAGGTGGGAATCCCTGCCAGTTTCTCAATCCCCACTCAGTGGCCAAAATACTTGGCTTCCAATAAGGACTCTCACCATCCTTTTAGGTAGACGCTTCTTGTGTGAAACAGCCCCGGAAGAAAAAACAGACAATTCCTGTTCTTTCCTTGGATGGGTGGGGTGGAGGGGGACAGGCAGAGTCACAGTGACACACATTCACACACACACATTCCCAGAGTCTCCTCAGCCACCAGAGTTGCTGCTGCCTGAAAGCATCACTTTGAGCCTAGAAGCCCAGCCTAGGCTAAACTGTGGTGATGTGGCAAGGGCTTTTCCCTCTCTATACCTCAGTTCCCTCCTTAATAAAGTGAGGGATATGAGTGGGGTTGATTTTTTGCTCCTCATAGCTCTGACATGCCTCTAGAGGGTTTATTCACTCCCCCTGCAATCTGACAGGTAAGGGCAGAAGCTCAGGCCCCGGGCTAGCACAGACTGACCGGAAATGGCTTACTCTCATCTATACCGCCCAAGGACAGCGGAGGCCTGTGTGCTAAAGACAAACCGTTCCCTCACCATTTTGCTTAGGGTTTGCCTTCGTCGCTTTTGAAGAGAAATACAAGCTGGGGCCCCACCTAGGAGTTTAAGTCCTGGGCCTTCAGGCTTGGGAACAAAGGCTGAGCTGGACAGGGTAGGGAACACCCTTCCCAGAAGTGAGAGAAGGGGAGCCCCCGGGCTGCTTATGCCTTTCTCTCTCCATAGAGCTGACTCTCCCTCTCCTTCTGTCTTCTTGAAGCTGGTGACTTCACCCCCTTCCCCTTCCTTTCTCTGAGGTTGGGATCGCCCTCCATCACTTCCCCATCTGCACCCTGGGTCTAAAATCTCCATCTCCCTTTTTATTCTTTAGGATTGGGGTCTCCACGCTCCTCCCTCTTTCCCTCTCCCTGGGCCTGGCCTCTTTATTCCTTTTTAGGCCTGGACTCTCCAGCCCCGGGTTGAAGGGTCTGCATTCTTCTTTTTTCTCTTCTTAAGGCCACCTCTCCCTCCCCCGCCTCCCCCTCGGCCCCGAGGCATTGTGGGAGGAAACAAGATGTGGGGCGAGAGCGGCGCGGGGAGAAGCCCGCAGTGCGGGGCCTGGCTGACGCAGCCAATGGCGAACGCGGGCGGCGGCGCGCGCGGCGGGGGGGGGGGGGGCGGGGGCGGGGCCGGGGCGCGTCGGCTCAAGCCTCCCTCCCCTGGGAAGCCTTGGCCTGCGACTGGGACTCTTGTTCAAGATCCTGATTGGTCGTCCGGCCGGCGATGCTGATGCGTGATTGG